TTTTTGTTCATTACGTAAAAGTGTTTATTTCATTTTGTACGGGCTTACTATTGAATATGGCTGTCTACTGTCAGTGCACAAAACAGGCAGAGTAAATAATGACAATGACAGCCATCTTTTAAAAGTGATAAGAATTGGGCTGATGATAATATTGGTAATGAGGAAGAAGTTATCTATTTATATGCAGGAGGGAAGGTGGAATGCAAACGAAAAAAAAACTGTATTTGATCCATAAAAAGGAAGTTTTATCTTAATTTCCTTCTGTGATGATTGATACTAACTGTATACTTGAATAGTAATTAATTAGAGAAAATCCAATTTCGATCGACAGTTATGTGCACATATGGAAGTACAATTCAAGAGAAATAAAATAGGTGGGAGGGGAGCAGGGGATGGGTACGATGCACACAAACTGGGTGAAGGACACACTTGCAACTTTGACTCAAACTGTACAAAAACAAATTATGTAACCAAATCGTATGTACCCCTGTAAAATTCTGAAATAAAAAAACAATAAAGAGGCATAACAACTGTAGTTGGTTTCTGATTCATGGCCATTTCTTTCCTTTTTCCTTAAACCTTTCTCCCCACCATTTCCTTCCATAGACCTAACAGTTTCTTTCCTTTCTCCTTGAACAATCTCCTTCTATAGATGTTACAGTTCAAATTGAGGGCAGAGCTAATCTACTCGTTAAACGTTTACTTAATGTGTCTCTCCCTCTGTTTCTGCCTTGTTAAAATGGGGATTATAACTGTATTTTCTCTCCAAGTTGCAATAAATGAAATACTTAAAGTGGCAAATAGTTAGAACCAAATAAATGTTGAGTCATAATTGATTGAATGTCATCATACTGTGATCATTATAATTGCCAGGCCTGCTGCTGGGTGCTGGAAATTCAATTCAGAGACTACTGTCATTTAAAGGAGACAGACATGCAAACAAATAAATATCGAAAGGGGGTCCCTACTGAAATGAGGAAATAAGCCAGTGGCTGATGCTTTGAAGGAGATGCGAAAGCCCAATAAATGCCCTGTTGCCATGGCACTGTGTATGACAATGGCAAGTGACCAAGAAATGTAAGTGTTTTTAAAAAATTGTACTTGAATGAGGTATCAGAATTCCTTCCTATCTCCTGGATCTAGGAATTCTAAACATCTAACTACAATGAATGGTCTCTCCCTGCACATCGTGGAGGCATAAGGCCACTGCGAAGATGTCTTAGTACCAGCTGAATCCCAAGGCATCACTGACATCTGTACACAAGGCTTTGAGCTCACTGCAGCTGAGGCCAAATGAGAGCCAAGAGTAAAAGGAAAAGGATTCCAGATGCTTCCAAACAAGTGCCGCGCAATGTACTTGCTCCACTTAGCAAGGGGCACCCATGAAAAGAAGGCATCTATCTCCCAGCCCAGTGCTGAGGTCCCCAAGGCCCCAGGGACACTGTCACATCTGTGTTCTCATTTCTGCTGCTCACCCAAAGGCGAGGAGTCTCTCTTCCTGATAGAGCTTTCTGTGCACAAGCAGAGCCCACACTCTCCTGCCAGAAGAGCCTTTCCAAGCTCTGTTCTCACATTCTGATATTCTTTTACCCCTCCAAACCAGAGGTACTTACTCGATTGTTTCAAACAAGTCAACTTTCTGGGAACTTTTAGGGGAGGCTGATATTCCCGGCATTCCAAAGCAAAGGAGAACCTACTGCTTCAGGTCACAGAACACTCTTCCTTGTACTAATCAATTTTTTTTTTTACACTCAGGATAAATTAAGCTTTAATATGACAGAGAAAATATAATCTTCACTGTTTTTTTCACTCTGTCCTATATGAAAGGTCTCAGTATTTTTAAAAGTCATGTTCAAAATTGCTGTGTCATTTATCTTCCAACATCACTGTGAAGGTGGGCTTCTGGCTTCCCATCTGACCCCTCTGGCTGATAATAACCAGATATTTCTTGCTAAGTGTGAATCTAATCACAGTGGTTGCTGTGATGTGTGGCCACACACAAGGCTGAGTGTAACAGATGGACAGCTGACAGCGAGTGCGTCTAGGAGGGCTGACATTCACCAACAGCCAGAGGAGGAGAGGGAATGATCCCTTCTGTCGGGACATCCAGAAAGAAAAGAGAAGACCTTCCAGCACCTGAATTTGTAGTAGGCTTTGGTTAGGGAAAAAATGACTACTAATTGAAACTCTTTCCTAATGCTTAGTAATTTCTGTAAAAATGAGTTTGAAGGTTCAGCACTGCACATCAAGTTGAAATTTAATAAATGGTATTTCAATTTCTTTCCACTCTAGTAAATTTCTAAGTTAACATAATTCAATTTCTATAATGTTAATACGTATCATATTTACTAGGAAATTGAACAAAAATTCCAGCTGAAATATGAAAGGAATTTAGTTTTCTCTTATGAGAACTACAGCTGAAACTACTTTTATGCTGCAACTCAATAAACACCAGTTTTCAAAGACAAGATTGAGAGAAAAGCACATTCCACAGTAGATATTACATGTTTGACTCTTTGGAACTGGAGCTGGCTAATTTAAGATAACATTAATGAACCAAAAGATGGAATCATGACATCTTTGTGGAAAAGAAAAAGTCCCATTTTAACAAACCAAGTAGGTCATTCAAGATATACACTGTGCTAGGGAAAAAACCCCAATAGATCCTTGATATGCTTTTTGTTTTTTAAAATATACCAAAAGTTGCCATAAAAGGGCTAAAATCTGGAGATATTTGAAAATGAAAGGAGAGATGGCGAGCAAGGCAGAGCACCTGTATTTGTACTTAAGCTTTCTTGTGGTCCTGCCTGTCTCCTTCCTCCGTGTCCCCTCAGAGCCTCCTGGACCCTCCCCTCATTGTTCTGACTCTTCCTCTCTCATGTCAACTCTGCTCTGGACCAGGAAGCAACACTCCTAAGCAATACCTTGTGCTTTTCACCAAACATATCCATTAACCAATTGGATAAAGGCCAGTGAAAATGTCTTTTCTATAGGATTTTTTTTTTTTTTTTTTTGAGACAGAGTCTCACTCTGTTGCCCAGGCTATAGTGCCGTGGCATCAGCCTAGCTCACAGCAA